AGAAGAGAAGAGACGAAATTTGGCACGGGAGCTGATGTATAAGGGGCATTGACGCTATTAAATTTTTTCGCTTAAAGGTCGAGAGGTCGAGGAGATAGAGAGGAATTATATGTCATATCTCTAGTGCTGTTGTACTTAATTAATTGACTGGATGGTGACAAACGGATCTTCTTCGAATCTTTCCATCCGTACAGATTCGTTCCCCAAAAATTCTTCCAAAATTTACACTATTTCGTTCGATTACCTTGCCCTTAGTCACTCCCTTTTACTAAAATATTTCTCTCTCGATAGTAAGTGTACGCTTACATGTATGGGCGGTAAAAGTGTCCAGTGCATATAGAAGTATACAGACTAATTTATAAGAAAATGTTAGAGAAATTTCACATCGTATATTATTTATTTAAACTCAAAAATTAATTAAATAGGGAACGGAAGGGAAACATTTTAATACTTTAAATCAATCGATACATCGATTAAAGTGAAAAACTGCTTGAAGAAATAGTAATATAAGTAAGAACAACTATCAGTTAAATAGATAAAATATTTAATATTAATGCCAATAATTATTATTCGATAAATTTTACAAACAATAGGATCCGTGCAAACTATGTGCCAATAGGACTCGATGGCTGCGCCTTCTTGTCCAGGGCTGAAATCACAGAATCTTCCTTTCTGACAAACAAGTAAATATTGAAATATATTACATTTCGTGTGTATTTAAGCACAAGTAATAAATTGCCAACACCCGAAGAAAGTAAATGAAAGTTTCGGGTTAATGAAACTAAACGAAGATGGCACATTCTATCGGGGAAAGAGTTGATCATACTTTCATATTTCACAAAGGATTAATTAATTTTTCAAATTTTTAAAGATACTTTTGTAAAGTGATTAAAGTGTAATATAAAAAGCGTTTTACTTTTCGCATCAATACAAGGAGAAGAGTTTCTTTAATTGTCATTTGACCTAAAACGAGTTTGCAAAGGATATCGAGCTCTCTGCTTGTAACCGAGAATGGTTTCTCTGGCTTTGTCCCAACAGTGTGGCCCTTGCAACCTGTATTGATAAGGAAGACTCGGACCCAGCATCAAAGCCCAAAACAATTTCGGATCCGTAAAAAACATCTTCGAAAAATTCGGCTTCGCTCCGATTAACTCCGCGATCTCGTCCGAGTATCTGATATAATCGATTTGGATTGTGTGACGTTTAGAATCGTAATAACGTGTCTCCAGTTGTCTTTTTCTCTTTTCGACGTCTTTCTTCATTTCTTTCTCGCTAGGAAAAGGTACTTTATTTAAAAGTACCTGCACAAACCATCTGCTTTGTAATTCGTCAATGGAAAAACTTCCACCTATCGCTTGAAACAATCCGATCACACCCAAAGTCGGGTGTTTCAGATGCGTAGGATATACCAGTTTGTATAGTTCCACCCGATTATCGGTGGTGTCTATGATATTTTTGCCGAGGAATGGGAATTTAATGTCGTACCCCGTGGCTAGGATGACGTGATCCACTTCCGTGACGTGCGAATCTCCCTGGAAGACGATGCCCTTCTCTTCGAATCGCTGTACGTCTCCTTTAACCGTAATTCTACCGCTGAGAATACAATTTGCAACGGAATCGTTGATGGTGGGATGCTGCTGAAAGAATCGATGCTCGGGCTTTAACTGGAAAGCTTTGTGATCGAAACACCTATTCAAGTCTGTTTCTATCCACCAAGACGACACATTTATTGGCGCTAGTCTCAAGCCGATAGAGAAATATCTCGTTATGAAAGATTCGTCGTTGGGTTTACCGCCTTTTCCTACTCGATTTATAACCCAACATCCTCTTCGAGTGCTCCAATATACCTGAAACAAAAAACAGAAGATATTTAGTTAATTAATAGATTAAATCGATTAATTGTAACACGTTCTCACAATGATTTATGTGTTCTTCATTTTTAAGGTACAACTAAAATAAGGCAAAATCCAACGACATTTCTTTTGTATCGAGTTTTAATTGTTTTGATACAATACACATAGGCATTTCAGCAAATGCGTGAAAAAATATTTATACACTCGAGTGCATATAACAGAGGTCCCGTATGTGGGCTAAGTTCTTTGTATCATAGAAGATCCATTTTAGGTTGTTCTCCGGTGCTGAAAAATGAAAAATTTGAAATTTTTTCAGTGTGTAAAGTACTGTACATACGTCTTATTTATATCTTTTACCTTTGACCTTTGACCTTTGACAACGATCAAAAGTTTTGTGACTTTAAACACTCAAATAGTAATCCGTATATTCTGGAACATCTTTTTTTAGTATATTAAATTTTAAAAAATCTCTTGTTAGATAAGATGTTTCCTATATAACACTACGCCGTTCATTCAGTTTTAAACCCGTTTACGTAGTTGGTTTACACATTAAATATAAGTTAAATTTGAGCTTTCATATAAAGTTGTAAGCGAGTACATACGAAAATGTTACCTTACATTTAAGGAATAATATAAATGAAAAACATTGGATTCTCAGGATATACACGTAATTAGATGACCCTGTAATATAACTTCTGTATGACCGACACCATTTAGCGTTTAGAGAAGTAACAGACTAATGGAAAATTAAACCTTTTTTCTTGGGTAGATGTTGATCGCGAGATGAAGAGGATAAGAGAATGGTCTACATCAGTGTTTTTCAACCTTCTTGAATACGCGACCCCTTTACAAGTTAAAAAATTCTGGCGACCCCCCCCACGGCCATATTAAAACTATGTCAGTGATTTTTAAAAACTACGTATTTAATTTTCTTTCTGTTGAGATTTAAATAACGATAAAAAAACTAATTGTATCGTAAAATAAACAGGCACAGCTTTCTCACTGAAAAGTTTTTTTATTGTAGTGTAGGACCTACAAACACTTGTCTTTTTCTTTTACCCGCGACCCCCGTGTATGGCTTTGGGACCCACCTGGGGGTCGCGACCCACAGGTTGAAAAACACTGGTCTACATAATCGCACCCTACAGTTAAAACTGGACACGAGCGTGCGAGAGTATGTGGCGAGAAGAGGGGTGATGACTTTTCTCGCTCTCGTTGAGTGCAGTACGATCAACAGAGGCGAGCGAACGGGAGAAAGTGGGGTAAAGATGTTGGCATCACAGAGAAGCGTGAATTATCCTATTCTATCCTCATTACGTTTATTGTTTTCATCGGGACCAAAAGTTCGATTACCCAGACATACACGACACTTCTTCTCTCGTCCAACAATTGCCGTCTTGTTTACTTCTCCGCCACTCTCTGTCACACGATGTTGTGGCAATACTTTCGCAATTAAATTTCATAAGTAATAAGAAATAAAAGTAATTCTACATATTGTTTTTAAAATGGAGAAAGGTCTTCAATCACGCGCGTACAATTAGTGTATTGTGAATGGAAAGACAAATTCTTCGTAACACCACACTTTCACCAAATAATCACGGTTACTTTTACAGTTATATAGGCCTATAAATATTTGACATCCTTTTAAATTTTATCTTAGAAAGTTACATTTACAACGATGTCGCTTACATTTTATTTTCTCGGCTGTTATATGTATACAGTATAACAGAGGGAAAAGTATTGGGATTGGCCAAAAAAATGAACCCAGAACCCACCTTCGAAGATGTTTATATTTTTGGACTAGGGGTCCTAGAAACGTTGAGAAATGCCAAAAAAATTCGGGTGTAGCGCGATTATGGTCACCCAATTTGACGTTTAATAACCCCTGTTGCTTTTGTCAAAAATTTTTGAAATTTTGCACGGAGGTTTGGATATTAGGGGGATTTATGCTATTAACTTTAGATAATTAAATATTACTTTATCTTCTACCAAGTGTATTTAATTCTGCTCAACACTACCAAAGAAGACGATCGACAATGCAATTGTCAACAGAAAAACAACGTTATTTATTTTCAATTCAATCTCTTTTTATTCAAATAAATGAAGGGAAATCGCCTAAATTTATTCATTTGTATCGAATTTATAATCTCGAATGCAAAAAAAACGTTTCGTTAAAGGTGTAAAAAATGATCACTCGATGTGTAATAATAATGATTATTGACAATAAGAAAGTATTACGGCATTTTAATAAAACGTAATATTTATAGCCTATAATTAATTATTGTAAAAAACAAAAGGTTGTCTTCGGGTGTAGGTAGAGTTTTTAAGGAAAATGCAGACGATAATAACCAGTAAGACTTTCATTAAGTATGACTCCCCTCGAGATATGACACTTAAGCCTGCTTCTACCTCCTCATCCCTCGAAAATTAAAGTACGGAAATTTCGTAGCCTCAATTTTTTCCTTATAAAATCCCTTGACATAATGAAAATTAGGGGCGGACAACATAAACACACAGAGACTTGTAAGGTTTTGTAAACATTTTGGGACTCCAGTAGTGTCAAACATCGAGATGCGCTTTAAAGTATTTAGTAAAGTCTAGCTTCAACACATTTAACGCGTTATCAAAATAAAGCTTACGCGTAAAATTCACCCCTAAAGTAATTCGTTCGGTCGACAAACTTCGAGAAAGTCTCGTCACTTTTTCTCAATCCCCAACCCCCCGAAGAAATTATTTACTTTAAACTGGGAGATGATCTAAAGTCAGTTAATAATAAGAATACAATAAGCAGTGTCTTGACTATTAAATGTGTCGACCTCATTTTTAAATATAGCGTAATTCTTATTGTTTTAGGTACTTCGGTTTAGCGTTATATTCGATTTAGCACCAATCTAACAGGCGAACGAAACGTGGTATTAAAAGGAACTTTGAATATATACTTAATTTACACTTAGAAACTGGTTTGGCTCCTAATTGACACCAGTTACTTCCTTAATATGTCAATTAGATTTATAGTAGCTAGGAGCACGGGTGTGTCAGGAAAATACAAATTAATTATAGTTTATCTATTGTTAGATAGAAACGTTCATACCTTAATTAATTAAGACAATGATGGCCACCACTTCTATCCAAGCAACGAACAGCGCTTCTATCCAAGTAATTTATCAAATATAAATGCGAGAATTAAAAGCGATAACTTCCATTTTATTAGGTGACAGGTTAAGTCGCATTAACCCGAAGACTCGCACTCCAAGTTCGGTATTTTTCGTGGTTGTAAGGACCAGCCTTTCTCCATCCTGGCAGGGAAACGACGACTCGTTAGGAATCTGGGGCCGTCTCCATCGTGGGCCTGGACGAGTAGGCAAAAAGGCCCTTCTAGTGCTGTACTTTTTCACGCAACATAAATATGAAATGTGTGAATTACGGTTGGGAAAATGAAGGTCGAACAGCCCGAAAGTACGATGAATTGGTGAAAATTATTTTATAAATATGGAAGGTAAAATAGTTTACACGTGGTATCACGAAATTTTTATTTAGAGAAGTTTCGATATTTCGGAGAAAATCGAAGGTCGAGTAGAGGAAAGAAGAGAAAATTACCGTCGAATTATCCGATAAAATGAATTATTGTCACGAAATCAATAGATAAGTCCGAATTACTTATTTTATTAAAAAAGGAAAATTTTCCTAATATTCCGATATTTGAAATAAATTTTTAATTCTATTTTTTCGATTCTATAAGTGTCTAGGGCAGTGGAGTTTCATCCCAATTGCGCGCATCCCCTTTAAAAGTAGAAGACTTTTAGTTAAAGATAATTAAATATTATACATGTAATTTAATTACAGAATTACCGTATATAAGTTTATTTCAGTTTCCAGGATTTCTTTTTAATAGCTTAAATTGTAATTAAAATTGGATACATTATAGGCGAGAAAATGTGACGAGAATTTATTTCAAAAATGACAAGGTTGCGGGCGATGGTTAGCTAAGCATCACCGCTTTAAATAATAGACTACGTTTAATTCTATTCTGTCCTTCGTGTAATCAGTCGGAAAGGTAGTTGACATTATTCAAACGGCAATTTATCATACTTATTGTTGGGCAGTCGCGTAATTTATGAGAGTTTCTCCGAATACTTTCCTCGTTGGCTCTATTACAAAGTGAAAAAATGCACAAAAAGAAAATAATGTCCAGTAAATTCTGGATAAAAATACACTGTTTACAACTCGGTTATTTTGTATATATGTTTGACATTAAACAGTAAATAATAAGATTGTTTGCTCGTAAATACAGTTTATCTCGCTGCACCGAGGTATGGCCGTGTTTCTTCCTAAATAGCGTGAAAAAGTCCGTTGTGCGCTGCGTAATGAGCCTTTATCTGTTTAATATTTGATATTACTTTATCTATATCTATATCTATATCTATATATCTATCTATCTATATATATATATATATATATATATAAATGAACATGTATGTCCCTATATTTCACTTTTCCGCCAAAACTACACATCGCACGTGAATGGTGTTTATATGTGGTAGTAGCCCCAAGTCTCTATTCGTGCATAGGGGTGGTTGCGTCTCGATAGCTATAAGGGTGCGGGAGATATCGGCTTGAAAGTGGCTTTCTATTTCGAATGTTTTGTTCGAACATATTCGAACAAATTCGAACATAAAATTCGAATATTGGTTCGATTATAGAACGATTGTAAACGTTCCATAAACGTTGAAATTTGTTCGTTTGACTAAACGTAAAAATTCTCTAATTAGTCTGGTAAAGGGGGACCTAATTCTTGCATTCTGTGAAAACGGGTAAGATTAGCTATAATGTAATTATGTTAATCTTCACTATCGTTACTTTTTAAAAACCCAGCGAAGCGGGTCCTTGCAGCTAGTATTAAATAATCTTATATTATTAATATTTATTTATTTACCATTTCTCTAGGTTATTTCCTGGTCTAATTAATCGAGAAAAGCTTTAGGCGAATTTCAATCGGGTCAAGAAGTAATTACGCGAAACTAATGAATATTTCTTGCAAAACGCGCATTACTTAGCTAAATCTACGGGAACGGAGGAATGCACTCGTTCTTTCATAAACGTCGGCTCATTCGTAAAGATTGTTGGCATAAGAGAAATTCTTCGGAGGAACACGTCGAAGATGGATTTCAATTTCAGTAATTTCCAGTGAATAAAAACTAACCCTGGTCTCGCACGAGCGATCAGAGGTAGATCACGAACGTTTGAGTACAAAGTACTAGAGTGATAATTGACCTAAATATGCAGGATCCTACACGATAAAGAATTAAAAGAAAAGATACGGAAGTAACATAATGACAATTCAGAAAAAATAAGATACGTATATCGCGATGAAAGGCGTATTCGGTCACGAAAGACGATACGTGATCTCGGTGCTATAAACTCCTAACAGCATTACCCTATCCGATGCCTTAATCTAATCCGAATACAAATCGTTTAATATTGGGGAAACGACCCACCATGGCCATATCGCGTGCTGCGTATTAAATCCTGATTAATGGTCTTCAAATTAATAATAAATTATTACTACCTCCTCATCCCTCGAAAATTAAAGTACGGAAATTTCGTAGCCTCAATTTTTTCCTTATAAAATCCCTTGACATAATGAAAATTAGGGGCGGACAACATAAACACACAGAGACTTGTAAGGTTTTGTAAACATTTTGGGACTCCAGTAGTGTCAAACNGACCCACCATGGCCATATCGCGTGCTGCGTATTAAATCCTGATTAATGGTCTTCAAATTAATAATAAATTATTATTTAAGAATAACAAAACCTATCAAATACAATTAAAACATTTTATTTGACATCTTTTCATAAAAATGACTAAATATTTAAATACGGGTCGATGTTTTTTGAGACGTCAAAGTAATTTGCCCGGGGCGCCGAGTTTGCTCGGGCCGGCAGTGGCGTGTAACCTTGATTTTAATTAATAGGCCTATTGCGTTATAGAATTTGTAACTTACAAAACTCCTCTGTCACAAAATTTTGTTTATGAATAGCTTGATTTATCAAATCAAATCAATCTATTTTCAATATCAAATACAATTTGACATTCGAAGTAACGAAGGCTTTGCAATAAGGTCAAACGTCAGTCGTTAAAGACTGTAAATCAGTTTATCGTTTCAACCGTATATCATAGTTTATAAATACTTCTACAGTTTCAATCAGACATTTTATTAGTTTTTGATATCGTAAAATTATATACAGGGACTCCCAATCTTCTATGCCCAGAAACTCGGGAAAGGCGTTAATCCTCTATTGCCTACAAACAGACCAAAAAAGCATCTCAACGTAGCAAAGTAATTGCATTTGAAATAACCGCGTGCGGATATATGACCATTTATACGAATGGTCATATATTCGCGTGTCTGGAACAGGCCAAAACGTATGGGCACAAATCAAAAGAGACCAGAAAATACGTGTTCTATTTAAATAAATGAAAACATTTTGGGGAGTTTTTCTGCAGATCACAAATAGGAGGAGGGCACAAAGCGAGGTTCTACTGTACTTAATAGTGATGTACCGGATTGTTAAAAATGTATATCTACGGATACGGATGTCTACTTTCGTACTCAGTCGGCGCCGGTGCGTGTGACCTTGGACCGATAGTTGACGCTTTGCTTTAATAACGCCACGTGTTTTGACTCGCACTGCGCGTGTTTTTGTTTATACGTAGTGTGAAAGTGTGCTAAATTAGAATTCACCACAAAGGCAGACAGGATAAAGTAACAAAAGTTGATATAATTTTCCAATTAAGCTATTTCGCGTCTTTATACAGATTCTATTTCGGGGGATTCCAACTTCACGGTACAAACAGTAGCGTGCGAAATTACGGCGATAATAATAGTTCGCTGTATCCAAAGCGCGTGTACAATACAGATCACGATTGCCACAATATAACCCGGAACCTTAAAACAAACCTTAAACACTAACTTAACACTAATAACAGAAAAAGGGATAGAATTAAGAAGACAGAAAAAATGGCAGATAAGATAGAAATAGGGATATCTGGGGTTTTGTCCCTTTTTTCGGCTTGTTTCTTTATGCGTACTATTGGGTGGGATAACACACGTCCTTCTCCTATAACTGGCCAGTTCTCTTCTTCAATAATTAGGATTTTTTCCTTCCACAGTCGTCAGTACGACCTTAAAACATGATCTTTTTTCTGAACTTATTTCTGAACTATCCGGTCATTGAAAATACGACTCCCAGTATTCTCATCTCGTCCGTACACTCTGCCGTCCGGTTTACGAATGACCCGCTACGTCACTTATCTTTTTTCTCCGGCTCCCGCTTACACGTTTGCTCCTCAAATTTCTAGGAATTGCTCATCCCACCCGAGGGACAGGGAATAGATAAGAAAGTTCTAGAAGAAAATAGAATAGAACAATGGGTAGAAAGAAAAAACGAAACTAAACTAAAATTAATATTTACAAAAATATAGCGTACCGCCACAATAGTTTAGTGCAGTGTTTCCCAACCTTTTTTGTGTTATGCCCCACCTAAGCCTTTCTAAAATTTTTATGTCTCCCTAACATATACAGCGGCTATACGGTTAACTTAAACTCTGGACAAGTCCATTTTCGAATTGCCCTCCTTAGCAATCCAATTGGCCCCTGTGCGGCGTGGGCCCCACGTTGGGAAACACTGGTTTGCGGCTAGTGTGACACGGGATAGCGTAGATTACGTTTGTGTTTTTGGAGAGTGTCGAGTTAAATTAAAATAAAAACAATGTCGACAAAAAAGTTTAGTAGTGTAATATGGAAATATTTTACGATAGTAAATGACGAATGTGCTATTGCTACCTATCTTTAAAATTTCATATAAGTAATGAAATTCATTAAGATAAAAGATCCGTTAAAGATCCGCTAAAAAGTAACGGATACGGATACGGATCTTTTTTTTCCTCGGATATCCGCGGATACGGATACGGATATCTGGCACATCACTAGTACTTAACCATAAAAACGACGGTCGTCTTGACTAACACAAGATGGATTTAAAAAGAACATCAAAACAAATGGCAAACACAAAGAATTGTGTCAAGGAAAAGTTTGATTTATGTCACATCAAAAATCTTACCTGTTCTAGGGCCATAAATTATGGTAATAATTGGAATTTATTTTAACCTATCGAGATTAGAAAATAAAAAAATCAAGAATAATATTGTTTCAACCGACTTCATCGACATATAAGCGAGAGAATTTTGCACGTAATTCACACGTGATAATATCGACCCTTCCTCGTATTAGGGGAGATCGGGGCAAGATCGGCATGTTAAGCTTTACTTAAATTTTGTGTAATAAATACTGCTGTAAACTGAAAAAAAAGCTTTGCGTGTTGTCTATTGGAATGTTACCTTACTATAGAACTGGTTAAAATCAGTTTGGAAATAAAAATAATTAAAATAATTACAACTTTACAAGAAGAGAGAAATTGACGAAGTTGCCCCNGTTGGGTTTACCACCTTTTCCTACTCGATTTATAACCCAACATCCTCTACGAGTGCTCCAATACACCTGCAATGAAAAGTATTGTACAGTACAATTTTTTAATATTGGATTCTCTGAAAGTTACGAGTTAAATGAAAAAAACAAATGTAGTACATACTGTATAAAAGTATAAAATAAGTAGCTCTTAGAGATTCAATAATGGATATTCCGCGTTAGACAGGTTTTTTGGTCTTATAATCAGGGTTGTGGAGTCGGAGTCGGAGTCGTGGAGTTTGGTAGTCCGTAATACGGGAATTTTATGGCTTCAACCCCACCAGTAACCGAGTGGATGAAACCATCGAACAATGACCATGGATTAGCGCCTTGCCACGGGCTGGCTACGTGGAATTTTTCTTGAATTTTTTCACCTTTGTAACACCTAAATAGGGGCCAATTTTCTAACAAAGTCCTACTGGGAGGCCTTCCTCTTGGCAGATCGCTACGTGTCGCGTTGCCGTAACCAAATAAACCAAACCAAACAATGGCTTCGTAACTAATACTCACGTTGCCGCGAGTTTACAGATTTAAATATATAAATTCTAATTAATAAGTAAACGCGTAGATTGGTACAAGCCTCGAACAATACGCGCGTGTATTCTTCCAGTTTCTCAAAGTGGAATCCACGGACTCACAAAGGGTGAACGAACAAGTTTCGCAACATCCTCGAAACGTTCAGGAGGGTGCGTTAGATCTCCTCCGTTAATTCACATTCACACTTACGCACATACTAATTGTTTACGCTCAAATGACAGACTGATCTTTCATTTAGCGTGTTAGGTAAATGCTGATCTATTATGTCCCTGCGCATTATTTAATATATACGCACGATTTTGTGAAAGTAAATTGACGTAACACTAACAAAACTTAATTGTTATATTCAAAAAGGGTCTTACCCGTTTAGCCACGTTGCAAGTTTCGACAGCGGCGTCGGCTCCCGAATTTCCCGTTCCAATCACCGCCACTCTACCGTCACGAAACTCGTCCGGTCGTCTGTACGCCTGCGTGTGTAGAATTCTCCCGCGAAATTTCTCTTGTCCGGGAAATTTCGGGATGTTGGGATACGCGTGATGCCCGTTGCATATCATCACCGCATCCGCCTCGTCCCGTATATTTTCTCCGGTCTTCAGATTCACAGCCGAGACGATCCATCTTCCCGTGGCATCGTAGTCCTCCGACTGTTCCACGTTGACCACTCGATGACGGAATTTTACGTCGGCAACCAAGTCGAAGTGTTCGGCGTACATTTGCAAATATCTAAACATTAAGGCGTTGTGCATGTAATTGGGGAACTCTTTGGGGGGTGGAAAGTCGCTGAACGACGTCAGCTCTTTGCTGGTGTTGATAATGGTCGATTCGGTGACGGATGCCAGACCTTCTTCGTTGGATTCTTTGTACTTCCATAAACCCCCGATGTCGTCGCTCTGTTCGTAGCACACCACCCGTAAACCTGCCTCTTTGCAGGCTTTGATGGCTGTCAGCCCCACCACACCGCATCCTATAACGGCCACACGCATGTTTATTTCGAGTGTGTAGACGTAAATTCGCTTTCCGTTTATATTAATCTTCTAGTATTTGACGAAGTCGTGACGGAGTGAATGCACATTTCGTGAACGATTTATAGTCTTTCATCATTGGATGTTCAGAGTTTTCTTACCTCTATCTAACTAGTACTCACGCAATATATTATTAGTGACATTCTCGCTTTATACCTCGTTTTCGTCTCTTCCACTTTATAGGCTATAGATCTGCTTTATAAAATACACCCACGTGTTTGGCCAAGCCCACGTCGAACTCAGCCGCGATGGATCGATCACATTCTACGTCACTTTCGGTCGACTAACCTAGCAACTGATAGAGAATCTGTAACGGGCGAAGAAAAAACACATTTAATGTAAGAAAAGTAAAAAAAAGCCACCTATCCGGTTATAAGAGACAAATATATCATAATTATAATCCAGTCGAATGCTATAATTATTTTATAAGAATCTAAGATTATATATAACTGCTAATGTTTTTAAGTATTATTAAAATGGGGCAACTTCCATTCTGTTACGTTGCTTTAAGGTATTTTGCGTAAATTAGGATTAAAATAAACGTTGGAACGTGTACTTTGGACTTTACAGCTCGATTTGACATAGTTAGAGCTGCCCGCATAGCGTAGACATTATAAAGTTACTGCCACACAGAAGAGAGCGAGCGAATATTATGACGTCAGATTACGACGAATGTTATCTTTCTCGTTGTCACGTAATAGAATGAATTTTTCGNTGGACTTTACAGCTCGATTTGACATAGTTAGAGCTGCCCGCATAGCGTAGACATTATAAAGTTACTGCCACACAGAAGAGAGCGAGCGAATATTACGACGTCAGATTACGACGAATGTTATCTTTCTCGTTGTCACGTAATAGAATGAATTTTTCGCATTCTTTCAACAGCGGAGAAAGAAAGCGGACAGACGGAGACGTTTATTCTTTCTATTTCCATTATTTTTCTACTTCCCGTCCTTTCCTGTCTACACAATTAATCGATTTATCTCCGAGGAAACTTCTGTCAATTTATTTTTTCTGATAATGGAATGCGACGCGTACGGAAAGGAGCCGCTTTGGACTTAGTGTAATTTTCTAGCGACGCGGCCTAATAAGCACAAAATTATAAGTGAGAATAGCGTGAAAAGTTTCGTGCGGATCCGCCTGCCACGTACACCGAATACATTAGTACGCTGTCGGCCAACCTATTTTCTTACCAAAGTGGCCACTTAAATTATAACAAATAAAACCATCGTCTCGGGCGAGTCCACTTTCCTCGCTTCTGAATTTCCGATAGAAAGTAACGTTAAACCTCAGTCTGTCGCCCACCATCGACCGAGACCCGCACGTTCTTCCGGAATGTCGTAGGCCGGAAATTAGCCAAAACGTGGCTAATTTCTCGGCTTCGTTACGGAATTTGTAGAAATTTTTTTCTCGATTGTTAGAGATTTTTAGTTTTCCAACCAGGCAATGGCCGCGCTTATTTTCTGCTAAGAACACCGCGGTAGCCTATCTTTCAGACATTTAACGTTTTCGCAATATGCGATTTCGAGACGAGTAAGAAGACGAGAAAAAGTCAAATTCCTCGTTACTCCGATAGCCTTAGCGACGTTACGCTATCGAGTGTTTACATCGCTAGGCTAGTAGCGATGTAGCTAGATTGGCAGCGTAAAACCTAGTATATAATATAAGGCGACATTCGGTGTCGACGTCTGCGTTCTAGCGTCACGCGTACTTTTTTTTGGTTAACTTCAGATCTTTGTTTTAGATTTTAGTCCCCTTTCCACTCTAAGAGTACTAAGGAACTAGAGAATTTTTTAAAAGAGTGTATTGTTGGTTAGTAGAAGGGGTTCCGAGACGAGCTCATAAATGTGTACAGAAAGGCTGGTATGGAAAAATCTAGTTCATTGTAAGGGCTCGTAAAATCACGTGTATTTTGTTACGTCTTAACTTTTATTTTCCATGTTTGCGATAAAATAACTTACCATATATATATAACATATGTTACCGTGAATGACCGATATCTGGCGAATGTCAACATTCTCCGGTGACTGTCAGCATTCGCACAATCGTTTCGTGTATGTACGAAATATTTGCTAAATATCGTTATTTCCCACTTACACCGGAAAATGTCGACATTCGGCATGCGCCGATGGTAAATGTTGAATAAAAGTATTTTTATTACGTTAAGACAAAAATGCAACTTTTTAACACGTCATAATAGAAGAAAGCTTAAGTAACGGCGCATGTAAATAAACTGTTGAACCTAAAACGAACAGTCTAAATCATTAAAGAAAATAATACAATAATAAACGTACGCATGAATTATGTGATTAACGTTATACAATCTTATGTATTGCGACAACTTAAACTATTATGGCACTTTGAATTGCGCGAGAGTCCCTTGTTTCGCAACTGCTTTTATTCGTAGAACACTTCTTTTTGCAATGACGGCGTGTATAGTCTCGACCTCCACTTTTCGAATTAGCCGCAGCCGCATCCTCTCGGCGATATTTCTCGAGAAGAAATCTCATCTATGGAAAGTACCTTTTCTTTACAAATTACGAACCGATTACGGGTATAAAGCCGCTTGAAAGTACCATTTTCGTTTGCTAATTTATACCTAAAAGTTGGAATCTTTTATTCCAACAACAACCCCCAATACATTTCGGGCATCCGTACGGACACGGTCGACACAGAGACTCGTATTCGTACGGTATCGCCAATTTGAGTGGAAGGAAACGGCGAAGAGTTTGGCGACAGATTATCGCCCCTCTGTCCGCATCGGCTTCTCGGGTGTCGTTTCGACCTCCACCAAAGCTTATCTGCGCTTGTTGACATTCACCGGAGAATATCGACATTTTCTAATTTCGGTCTTTCACAGTAACATATAGGTCTATATTAGAAGAAGAAATAAAGATTGATAAGAATGTTTACAGATTGCAAAAACTAACTTAACTTATTATATTGGATTACTCGATGCCACCGAGGAAAAGAAGGCAGCGGTGGGCATTCCACTGATAACGCTTTCCAGTAATATTGGAATAGTTAATATTTTCGACGGTAATACTTCGACACTTCAGCGACACCGAGTTGTATATCCGCGATGTCTTGTGAGTAAATCTAGATTATATAATCCAGCAACGAGTTGCTTAACTTTCTCGGCAACGTTCGGTGGGCCATCTGTTATGACAGTTTTATAAAAAAACATTTTATATTTTTAACTATTACAAACTGGCAAAGAGCTTACTTGTTGCAAATTTTTTATTTTGCAACAAGTAAGCTCTTTTTTGCTATTACAAATCTACTTGTTGCAAAGTTCTTCTCGCACGTACTGTACCAATGCGTATATGCATCGAGCAATTATAAATATCATTCGATGTATATACGCATTGGCACGCGTTACGCAAGTTTTCCTCGACCTCGTAACCTTGTAACTCAAACTCGTCTAATCTAAATATATATAACTCAAAGGTGACTGACTGACTGACATAGTGATCTATCAACGCACAGCCCAAACCACTGGACGGATCGGGCTGAAATTTGGCATGCAGATAGATGTTATGACGTAGGCATCCGCTAAGAAAGGATTTTGATCAATTCTACCCCCAAGGGGATAAAATAGGGGACGAAAGTTTGTATAAATCTTCTTAGATTTTCGACTGATTGAACTGAAATTAAAGATTGGAGCTACTATGATGAAGACGTCCGCTTAAATAGGATTTTGATAAATTCAACCCCCATGGGGATAAAATAAGGGATGATGGAGGATGTAAATGTATTAGTTTGAACCTATCAGTACCTAATGGAACGAATAAATTAAGACGAACAAAATAATTTTTAGTTCTAAATGTTGACAATAGATGGCGTTAGTAGTATTTTAAAACGCGCTATCGTTGTGTTTTCACTGAGTTACATATACCCGATGATGAGTGGCCGCCGTATCTAATAGTACATACTATACCTAAATATTTCTAGCGGATTATATTTGACGATTTTGGATTGCATTTGCTTTGTTTCGGTTTAGTAGTTTTTCTGTGCCGCTATGGGAAGATAGGCATCAAAATGTCCACTGGACAAATCTTGGCTGAATCGTAATCGCCTTACCGGATAGTCGTTAGATCCAGAAGAAAAGGTCTATACTTCGATTGATACTGTGGTTAATACAGATGACGCTACTAATTACCCTGTAGAATTTTTAAATTCATTGAAACCGCCAGGTTTGCCTTATCATAAGCTTATTCTGCGTGTGGGCACTCCAATTATGTTGTTGCGAAATTTAAAACCACCAAAACTTTGTAACGGTACGAGACTGCAAGTGAAAGCGTTACATCGCAATATAGTGGAAGCCACTATATTAACTGGGTGTGCGAAAGGGGAAACTGTATTTATACCACGAATCCCATTAATACCTAATGATATCCCGTTCGAATTTAAACGATTACAGTTTCCCCTAAAAGTCTGCTTTGCCATGACAATAAACAAGTCTCACGGGCAAACTCTCAAATTTGCGGGTATTGACTTGAGAGAACATTGCTTCTCTCATGGACAGTTTTATGTTGCTTGCTCACGAGTAAGTTCACCCAATAGCTTGATAGTTTTAGCGCCTAATGACAGATTAGTTAAGAATATTGTGTACAAAGAAGTTTTGTAGGCCCTAATTTCTTACACACGCTAAACAAAAGTAAAGCCACAAAAACTATACCTAATTAATAATAATACTTCTTAACGCGAGCGAAGCCGCGGGCAAAAGCTACTATAAAATAAATTTATTGTCATTGAAGATCTCTATCGATGGCATTGTGGAAGGACACGCGTATACGCCAACGGGTTCTTAATGCGAAATGCATCGAATATCAAAGTTATTTTGATAAACTCTTTTATGATTTTTAGACCAACGTCCGCAACATTCCGTAATCCGTCGAGAAAAAGCAATTCGTAACTCGAACGAATCGAACAGTTATTATTATTACGGCTTTATATCGAGGGCGGACGTCTTCTGTGACGAAATTTAAGTCTTAAATCTATTACTTTCGACTCGTAGCGCCTAGCCGACGGCGCTTTGTCCTTTTCTAACACCGGAGAAGACGTACGCGAAAGGGAATCGGCGGTTACGAGTGTTGTACGCTAACACCGATAGCCTTTAACCTCGTCTGTCACCGCTAAACATTTTTATACTCGAAACAACAGTTGGAAGTTTTCGCTTTATTATTAAATTTTGATTTGTGTTATTTCGTATTTTCTCTCATAAAATATTATTAAACTAAACGTGATTTGATATACAGTATTATTGTTATTCAGCCTGGTGTCGGAATACGAGACAATCGAAGACGTATTACTGCAAAAGACCAAAATATATGGAGGAAATCGAGCGACACCCGCCACAAATCAACCCGATCGCCAGGAAAAGAGATTTCTTTCGGCAGCTGGGAAAACTTATTTCCCGACATATGCCATTTTCTACGAGTCATTCGACTTTTTTCTTTTGATTCTAATCTAAAACCTTTAAAATGTTAGCATTTTTATATTTTTCCTCCTTTTAATTGTTATTGATTTACCTCGCGGGCGTAATAATCCTTCGATTAATCAATTAAATCACCGGTCTCTAAGGTTTGTCCTTCGAAATCCCGGATAATCGAACTCGAAATTGACCAAAAATATCTCCCGGGATTTCCCTTTATATTAAATGTCACAATATACCAGTATAATTGATTTGTTTTTTCTGACGTTTAGATAAGAAATAAATAAATAAACATTCAGAAAAAGTGCGTGTTGCTGTTACGACGCGATTTTCCAGACACCCGCGCATTTGTTACTTTGTTGTCCTTACATATTATTAATTAAGCTGGAATTCTATTATTAGAAAATAACGGGCGTGGTTTTCTGTACTTTTTGTAACAATTTGCCAATTTGCGTATAGAATGTATCTCGCGTAACATTAGGTGACTTTACGCCAATTAATAAAGTTACGTGGCAATTATCGTTTTGATAATTTTTAACAAGAAATTTAACATTTCCTTAACCTATTTTCTGCTGGGTGTTAACGTCGCACGTGGATGGCAACAAAGCAAACTGCTTTTATATAGAGGAGAAGGTGGTATTATGGAACACTGCGGGTATTATGGAATCCCTCCATTTCGAACCGATAATAAAGGCAAACTGTAGCGGAATGTGGCCGAACTGAACTAGGCAGACATCCGTAGCCAGGGGAAAACCCGTTTTACTTCAATTAAACGGTTGTCCGTATTTAACCAGTAAATTTGTTTTTTCAAAATTCGCGAGTTTTGAATGCTAAGTGAATTTAATTATTTTTAAAATATCAATCGTGTAGTTGTAGGTTCACCGGTGCACGTATTCTGTTCCAGACACTTAGGGGTACGTATTAATCTGTGTGATTTTCACGTTTTTAAAGTTTGGTGCCGACAGGAATTAAGTTAACCCAAGACGGAGATGCGTGAAATACGGACCCCATCGGTGCTTTTAATACGGAACCCAACTCCCCCGGTGTTCGGTATTACCAACAAATTAAAACCATAAAATAATGTTTTTACGTTTTATTTTATTTTTTTAATTTAAACACTATTTTAACAAGAAATAAAATGTAAGATAACAATCGAAATAAACATTTTTTTTCATGAAAAAAAATATCGTCCGCTTACAAAATACCGAAACTGAGCACGAGCGAAGTGACAGTATCGTCTGGTAAAGTAAATAGTCTACGAGTAAGTTGAAACTTTTATGTTTATTTATTTGAAAAATAACAATAGATGTAGCAGTTGTGATGAACGGGCACGCCGTTCTTGTGCCAATATTAAAGAAAGCGATAGTTTAACCATTTTAACTTGTCCTTCTTGTAGTCTATAGTCTATAAAAATCTTATTTCATAGGTGGGGTAAGATGGTGCATTTACATATAGACTAATTTTAATTAAAATATTACATTTTCTTGTTTTTCAAAAATTAAATTTTGTAGATTATTAGTCTATATTTTACCAAATGTTGTAGTTGCTGAGAATAAAAAAATTAGACTATTTTTCTCATTAAAGTAGTCGCCATCTTATCACTTTTCATTTTTGCGTTAAAATACATTGGAGTAAATGATTTTGTAATTATTTAACATTTTTTGTCCTTTCCTATTTGTTTTTGGCTACATTAAAGCATTTTTTGAAAATATACAGTAAGGTTCCATATTAACACCCGATTTTCTCTAAGCCTACTTTCTGACTTTTTGTACAGAAGCCTTCGAAAACCATACTTATAGTTACACCAGCGAAAAATCCAATTAGGAACATTTGGTTTAATAGTTACAAGTACTTTTCGCGCAAAAAATGTGGGTGTAGTTACGATACCTTGTTTACGATTCACTAGAATATAATTGGGGTTCCATAATACCACCTTCTCGTCTACAATATAAACAAATACGCTGCCATTTTTTGTAATTAATTCAGAATTTCTCGGATATATTCGACGCTTTTATCGATATTAAATTAATAATTAATATTTGTTTTCCTTTAAATTTCGTAAATAATAAGTTGACGGAAGAGCGATCTTCCGTTAAGAAGAGAGGAGGACGCGATACAATTACCACCGACGTCTCGTAACGTCATTATTCGGTAACAATCGAGTAAGGTTACGCGAAAATAACGCCACGTCGGGTATGTTTTATGCGTAAATTAACTTATTCGTACAAAACGTTCGGGTAATTACTCGTATAAATTGTATAAATCGCCTTCAAAATGTTATAATATCTTTCGAAGTAATAATTCCCGAATAATTTTCAAACATTCTGTTTCATTTACAATCGCCAGTCGTATATTTTTACTCTCCCCGTCGTTATAACAAAGGGAAAGTATGGCCATCCGGCAAAAAATAACTCCCCAGATTTACACGCTTTTGGATACCTTAAAACGTCGAGAAATGCAAAAATTTTCGGGGGGAGTAATTTCTGCAAGTATGGATGTTTGTACGTGTTTGTGGCACGATTTTGTTCACCCTCTTCGAAGCTTAATAATTACTGGGTTTGTTGCCGAAAATTTCTAAAATTTTGCAGGGAGGTTCGTTTATTAGGAGGATTGACGCTACTAAATTTGGTGGTTAAAAGTCGAAGGGTGGGGATATAAAGAGGTTCGTACGTATCTCCAACGGGGTCGGACTTCATGACGATTTTACTGGTTATTAGCATTAACAATTTGCTATAAAACCCAACGCCGCCTTAAAGATTAAGCTTTTAGCCATTTATAATAGTTAAAATTAAAATATGATAACAGATGGCGCCACCAAAAGTTTAAATGTTGCCCGGAAAGCCGAGTAACTCGTTGCTGGTTTATTTAATAGTTTAATTTCGATTAAAAAAAAATCGGAATCGAAGTAAATTATTTGTTTCAAATGGAAATTGGCCCGAACGGCTCTCAATAGAAACGTACTTAATGTTACATTTCATACGTAGAAGTTATTATTAATAACTAGCTTACCCGTCGCGCATTGCTGCGATCTCAGAAGAAACGAAATTCAAGCAAACTCGTTACGATAAAATTCAATTTACATTTTATCATTTTTATCAAAACTTATTATTTTTATTCATTTTCATCGGGAAAATATTTCAAAGTGTTGTTTCAATTCTATTTATTTATTGGAGTGCTTTGTGGGTACACGATATTTTTTGTTTTTTCGTCTGGTGCGTACACGAATAAATCAGAAGCTTTTCCGACGCGTGAGTTGGCCACATACAGTTGTCCATGCGAGAAGCACGGATTCTCCAAATCTAGCCCACACACTCGCAGCGATTGTCAGAAGCGCGATATTTCCCATATATTTTTTAATCCTTTATAAGTTTAATTATTTAATTGCTCCTCTGATAGTTGGATAATAAACCGTTTTATTGTAATTTGTCTTTTTAAATTATTTTGAGTCGATATTAAAATTTGGAAAAGGGGGATTCCTAGATGGGTAAAATACGCGAATTTCTTCCTACGACTTCGGTCGTTGTTCGGGGTACGGTTAAGGTTTTAACGAAGTACGAGCGAATACGTAATTAGCAAAAAAAAAGTTGAAATAAAGTGATTACTCAAACATTATTACAAATATCGTAAATAACAGTTCGCAAATGCATACATAGAAATATTTTTTGGAGAGGGGAAATGGTCTTCGCAATTTGAAATCCATCGAACACACACTGCTCGAATGCTCGTGTAAACGCGCGCCATCTATCGTAGGATAAATGCCAGAAACCTTCGCGGGAGTGTATTAAAAAACTTCCCAAAGCTTCGTGGCAATCGGATAAACGGTGTGGTAATGTATGAAGGACAGACACACATACACACACATACATTCATTTTTATATATATAGATGAATAACTTTATTTCTTTATATAATACTAGTAGCCCGGGACAACCCCTAGTGGGCGTTGTTTACAAATTTCCATGAAGCACGGTTCCTTTGACTTTTTTGTTCCTATCAATATGCTGTACAGCTCTGTTAAAGTCCCAATGGTAAGATTAGGTCAAGAGGTGGCCACCCCCCAAACTGTAGCCCTCTGTACTTACAATAAAGGCAAAGGAACCATACTCTTACTCGCGATCCTTCGCCAGATATAAGCCCCTGAAATAATAAATTCCTATTACAAATATACTGAATTATTTATATTGTTATATTGACCAAATAATAATTCATATTGTTAATTTAAATAAGAATTAAAATTGTTAATTTGAATGTTTGAAATATGACACACGATAGGGGCGCCTCTAGTGTCCGTTATCAAACGGTGACGGGACGGACGGACGGATTGAATGGGTTATATACATAGATATAGTGAATCCAGTTGACCAGGTTTTAAAAAAATCCTGTTCGAATTTTAAACGTTTTAATACTAATAACTTTAAAATACTGTGCTTTGAATTCTACTCTTTAAGTGATTTAAATTCATTTACAATATACAAACAGCTTTATTAATATAATAGTCGTAACATTGCCAACTTTCAGCAACGCATACACTCAGCATTTTGAAGCAAAGTGGTTCGATGTTCCCAAATTAACAATAATATAATAATAGACATAGCACCGTTATGATTATTATGCGAAACCAAACCGATAATGTAGTAATTTTTAGTATTAGTGTCTACGGAAATAGAAACGGGCAGCGAGTTCCGTTCGTCGCAATTAGGACTGGCTGCATTCAGAAGAGCCATCTAATACGAGTCGCTTGTCATGTAGTTGCCAGTAGTGTAATTCTTCAGCACCCCAATAGGATAAGCCAAGTACGGAAAGGAGGGAGAACGCTGCCATAACCAAGAATTTTCGACGAACAAATTTAGAAGAACGAAAGCAACAAATACGATTAAAAATGTCAAGCGTAAGTAAGAGAAATGTCTTTCTTTCCGTTTGATATCCTTGAAACGAGTTTGCAAGGGACGATCGACTCTGTGCTTGTACGACAGGATGGTGTTTCTGGCTTTGCTCCATTTGTGAGGTCCTCGCAATCTGTACTGATAAGGAAGACTCGGGCCGGTCATCAGCGCTCGAAACAACTCGTTGTCGTTGAAGAACATTTTGAAAAAGTTGGGTTTGGCCCCGATTAACGACGCCAACTCGTCGGCGTAGTCGATGTAACCCACTTGGATCGTGTTGCGCTTAGAATCGTAGTAGCGCCTTTTTATGGTTTCCAGTTGTCTGCCGACGTCTTTCTTCATTTCTTCTTCGGAAGGTAACGCTAAATTCTTACGTAATAATTGCACGATCCATCGGCACTGAAGCTCCGCTATGGGAAAACCTCCTCCCAGCGACTGGAACAGGCCCACGATGGACAGAGTCGGGTGTTTCAAATGGGGCGGGAAAATAAATTTGTACAGTTGCACGCGATTTTCGGTGGTGTCCAGAATTTCTTTACTAAGAAAGGGGAACTTTATCTCGTATCCCGTGGCCAAAATCACGCGATCTACTTCGGTGATTTCAGAATCTCCTTCGAACAGGACCCCGTTTTCTTGGAAATGTTTGATGTCGCCCTTGACTATTACCGTCCCGCTCAAAATTCGGTTGGGTAGAGCGTCGTTTGTCATGGGATGTTGCTGAAGAAACCTGTGTTTTGGCTTTAACTGGTACTTTTCGTGATCGAATCGGCGATTCAGAACCCTTTCCATTATCGAACAGGTTAAACTGAAGGGGAGAAGACTGACAATTAAATTATTGAGTCGAGTGGTGAAGATGTCGTCGTACGGTTTGCCGTTTTCTGCCACTCTATGCAATACCCAGCAGCCTCTTCGAGTACTGAGATACACCTGAAAATGACAGCAATTTCTGTTAATAAATGTAAATAAAGTACGTCTTGCAATAAAAACTGATCGAGACAGTTTTTATAAAATTGACAAACAAAATATATTTCATTAATTGCGTGTCAGGCATTTGACGTTAATCAGCAATCGTAAACGTTATTGGTTTCGCCGACCTCGATTTAAGGCGACGTAATACTGAAATTAGGTTAACGAAACAACACGCGATACACAAATATTTGATTTTTTCAAATAAATATCGTACTAAATGAGTTATTTAAACGTCTCGTTATAAAAAGTAATTCTTGTTGATAGTAAGGCCATTTTGTTACTGTTACGATCGACTTTACGAACGAAGGATTATTGAACTAGTTTGACTGTCGACCCTTTCAAGAATTTCTCGACTCAATCAATCCCTTTTTAATTTTGCCAATACAGTTAATAAATAAACAAACAAATAAATCTCCGTGTTAACAACTTCTACCGGCTTTAGTTAACTATTTACGAGTGATAAAATTAACGCAGCCGAGCTTACCTGTTTAGCCACGAGACTAGTTTCCACGGCAGCATCACCCGCGGAATTGCCTGCACCCACCACAACCACTCTCTTATCTTCGAATTCTTGAGGCTTCTTGTAACTATGGGTATGAGTAATCACTCCTTTAAACTTTTCCTGGCCGGCGAAGGTGGGCGTATTAGGGAACACGTGATGCCCGGTACATACCATGACGGCATCCACCGTCGAGCATCGCTCCTCTCGCGTTTTCAGATCGACTACCGTAATTTTCCACCTTCCGGTCTGGTAGTAATCGTCGGCCGGAACGATACTGTCCACCCGATGGTGAAACTTGATACAGGAGACCAGATCGAATTTCTCGGCGTACATTTTCAGATACAAGAACATATTGGAGTTATGCATGTAATTAGGAAATTCTTCGGGAGGAGGGAAGTCGCTGTACGACGTCAATTCTTTGCTGGTGTTGATGACGGTAGACTTGGTAACGGATGCCAAACCTTCTTCGTCTTCGTCCCTGTATCTCCACAGACCCCCGATGTTATCGCTTCTTTCGTAGCAGACGACGTCTAGACCCTCTTCTTTGCAGCATTTGATGGCCGTTAGTCCTCCAGCACCCGAACCTACAACAACGACGCGCATGTTTGTCAATGGAAGGCCGCAATTACACCAAGAACGTAACTGAAACGTTTCCGTTCGATCACACTTCTTTTATCAATCCGCAACACGTGACCGAGTCGTGTTCGTTGCGCAATATTTTCGTAAAAAGCAACTAATCGCGAGGACTTAGTCACACGTCATTTATTATTGTTAAACACGTGATACGCGGATTACTGTAAGAAAAATTTTAATACAAAATTATAAATAAGTCGCTGTTTATAACGTATTTATCGGCTTTTAAAGGCAAAAGCTGGAAAAATTATTAAGATATGATATAAAAAAAGTGAAAAGTGAACTACATAACAGTAATTAAATTGACATTTTATCCTTATTGTAGGAACAATAGGCAAAGAAATTGTTTTTCATACAGACTTATAAACTAGTTTAAAAGTCTGTGTAATTGTTTATATTAAATATATGGAGATTAACTTAATTATTTTCTTGTTTATTGAGTAATAATTGCAACGAAATGCAATAAAATCGCAATGATTATCGACGATTGTGAATAATTAATAGGTATTTCTGCATTCGTATACCTGAAATAATTGTCGTAATTATTGTAATTTCGGCACGAATTACGATAGATGTTAGTATAAAATTCGATTGAACAGGAAAATTGTGCGCGACGTAATTGAAAAGCTTTAAATGCTATCAACAAATGGAAAAGGGATAAATTTAATTAGCAGATGTTCCAAATAGTTAAGCGAATTTCTACGAAACACGAGACGTGAGGTCACTCGTCTAATCTGTGACCCGATTAACTTTTTCTGCTAACGTAACAATCTCGTCCGCGAAATTAAACATCGAATTACCCATTTAATTGATTACTTTTCTAATAATTTGCTCTTTTTTGATAAATCCATCGAAGAGCTTATTACTTTAAATAAATATATATCCCAGTTTAACGAATTACGGGCTAATTAATAGGAGCTTTATTATATTAATTATTACGCTTATCTATAACGTTAATTAAATAATTTCGATTTAGGGTATTTATAAAATTATTTGTCAATTTTCTGCTTAGAAAGGGACCCGGCGCGTGCGTGAAAAAGAATGGCCGTAGTGTAAATAGTAGCGTAACTTCTACCCGAAATTAGAACGTGCCACCCACGTAGTGTGTGAATGGAGCCATTAACTCCGTAAACACTTATAAATGGATTCGTCCTTGTTTTACTGGCCTTAAGGTAAAGGCGGGAAACTTTGTGCTATTGTTTTAACACGTCTTCGTCAGATAGGAGTGTGTTGGCCGATGGCGTTGATTATCTTACGTATAATTTTACCCGTTGGAGAAATTTGTTACCCGTTAACTGTCGGCAGAAAGATTTCTATGGTATGGAGAAAAAATTGCAGTATTTAAGCAGAATACAGTAGTTATATCTTTATTTACAACGAAAATATTGCGATTTATTCTTTGATATTTCGATTAATTACGTTTTAACGCTCAGTTATTGAGCCGCAATACGAAAAAACTGTAGACCTATAAATTTCCAATGTCTTCCGTCCGTCCTTCTGTCCTTTATTAATCTAGAGAACGGACTTAAGTATATGAATGTCGAGACAAACGTAGATAGCTTAGGAGCGGGAGGCCCTTATTAACTATATACGAAGTTCCCGCGCAAACCGGAAGTCGTGTTACTTGGATCCAAAATTTTCGCTCGAAAGGAGTTAGATAAATGACCGGCACGACTCTATTGTTAAAGGATAAGTATGATGTACGGGGGCGAGTCGCTACTAATTTCCAGCGCGGAGCATATATTTTAAATTTCAAAAATACGATTAAAAATTGCAGCCGTTACAATAAATAACTGCTGGTTAGTGTTTTATTATATTTTGAGTTTAAATTTCCTTAGCCACGCCTTCAATATTGCTAATAAAAAAGTAATAATAATATAGCTTAGGCGTACAGAATATTAGTCGAACGAGTCTCGAGTCTTTCGTACTTTTTAAGAACAAATGGAAGTACAGTACCACATAATAACCAATGAAGATACAGTACCATCAAATATCGTCCGCGTGATAAACTTCTTAAAGTGTTCGGACGACTCGTCTCGTGTTACGCGATTAAAAAAGAACGAAATTTTCTTTTCTTCGCCTTCGCCTTGATCCGTATCAAAGTCTGGAAATAAAAGAGTTTGGCTCAAAATAAGATGTAAAAATATTTAAAATTATTTCCAAAGTCTCGTTCGTACTAATTAAGAAATCAATGATAGGATAAACATAAAAAAATTAATTTCCATGAATGAATATCCAACTTAAAAGGGGTTCACCCAACGAGTCGATACCGTGTGATCTCACATAATCTGGAGAGAAAGCACTTCGCGTGTTGAGGAATAAAGTGTTCGGTACGAAGCGAGTAAAGAGTGCGGTGTTACTTGGTTTACTTAAAAGATAAAATATCCAGCGACCAGTTGCTTAATTTTTCCGGTGGGTTTTGTTCGCGTTAGTAATACCTAAAAAGGGTTTCGCTTCCATAAAAGCTTATCCGGGATGCATCTACTCGGCAGATCGCTAACGCCTCGCCTCGCCGTAACCAAATAAACCAAACTAATCCTAACCTAATTATTTATTATTACATCGTCAGTCCATGTTGCGAGTTTTTAATACTTTTATCTGTGGTCATCGCCAGTAGGTCATACTATTCCTGTTAGCAATCGTGCCGATTTCTTTAATTCTCTTTAGGGGAAATTTACTCGCCGTATCCAATTACCGGGCACGAACAGTTTTCGCTTCGCAGAGACCAACATTTTCGGCTACAATTTAAAAAAATCGTAGACCTATAAATTCCCACTTGTCCACTCAATTTTAACCATTCCCCCGAAAAGAGTTCGATAGATGACCGGCACGATTCTATTGTTATAGAAAAAGTTTGATGAACTGTACTGTACACGCCTTGGCACGCTTGGGGCTTGCGTAAAGTGTATCCAATTGGACTAAATCCCCTGGTTATAGAAAATGCATTAGTTATTATTCCGTATTACCCCAAATTTCCCTACTATTATTACACGATGATAGAACACGAGTTGTGTAAAATATAAAGGATACGAGTCGGCCTTGGTGGCCATTCCTAAGCCCTACGCAGTTTCCTACTTTGCGAATTTTGACCTCCACGTTATGCGTAGAATCTATAATCTCTCCGTTAAAAAACTTAATTGTTTTCGTTACTTCTTGCGTACGCGAGGACGTAACCCGATCGGCCAGGATGCCGGCCCTGAGGTGTCTGGGAATTTAAAATCCCCTTTATCGGACACTACTGACCCCGACCCTCGCTTGTCGCGTCATCCTGACGTTGTCCCGCGACGCGTCAGCGTGACGCGAGAAAGCCTTTTCACGTATGGGGTAGTTGTTTGCTGGACGCGAAGAGATGTACGCAAAGGCCGAAGTGACAAAATTTACCGCGTTTAATTATTAATTATTTATTACGCGTTTAAAATTTACCGCGTAAAGACACGCTTTATGGATTACCCAATCCGGAGAGGTAGGTCCCGCGCGCAGTAGGGAGAGAAGTTGTCTCTAAGATTATGAGTTCAACGTGGAGAAAGTTCGTCTCCGTTGACCCAGTTGTAGGGGTCTGAAGAGGCTTCTTCTCCGGCACTGTCTCGGACGTTAAGGCTGTTATACACGTTACGGAAATCCTCAAATGATGTACTTAACAGACGAAAAAAATCGGATATAACTGGCTGGATCGAACATAGTAATTTACAAAACTTATTAAAATATTTTCCAACGTATAAAGAATTATTTTTATTTAAAGGTGAATAGATATAAAAAAAATCACGGTTAATCCTCAAAGGATTTCTTTACCGTGTATAACAGCCTTTACAGCCTTTAGAGGTATGAAGGAGTACGCGTCAGGAGTCGCAATTTGGCACAGAGTAGTAAGTGCCCAAATCATGGGCGCATAAAAAAACCAGACTCGTAGGTATTCGGGGAACCGAGAACCGAGTCAAAGTAAAATACGAAATGGCGACTCTGTCTACAAACGGGCAAACCGAAGTCGGGTGGTGAGAGTACCACCCACAGTCGTTCTAGGAAATGGACTCCGACTCTAGGACCGAACACGTAGTATTTTCTTTGTTAAGTAAAATTTGTTATTTAATTTTGTAAATTCGGGAGTGCTTCAAATATGACATTAAAACAGGGTTTTATGTCGTTACAAGTAGGTTTTTTAACATTATCTAGTATAGTAAAATCGTGGGACCGATAAAAATTTGACGTTACGATCGGGTTAAACTGTATATTGTTTGCGCAAAATAAAAAATAATAATTTCGGACGATACAATAGCCACGAGTATTTTTTCAAAGACGGGACATTTTCGTTAGATATCGATAAAAATTCAACCCGGGCCGACTGGCAACGGAGAGAAATTTCGAAATTGGATAGGTTAATTTCATGGAAAATGCACGGTGGCCGGCGAAGTTCGAACGATCGCGCCCAAAAGCGGCGATGTCGAGGAAGATTGGAGAATGAGAACGAGATCCGCTTCCAGCGTCAAAGCGATTCCGCTTAGTACTGTCTCCGAGACATAGTCGTGTCCCAAATACGGTTTTGCCGTTTTACTTGTTTCATTTAACCTTTCTGGTTAATATTTAAATAATATAATATTTAACCATTTTTACCAGTATTATACCGTCGTCCAACAGAAAAGTAAATTATCTTATTTACAAATCTTTTCAAAATAGACAGTTTGACCGGGCCCTAGACATTTGTCTCATTTGTCTACGCGATGATCCGACCCCGAGTATCGGCGAGTCCCGCTTTGAACTCTGTAAGATGACCGTCCAAAATTACCCCGGCGGACCATCCCTCTCCCGTTCTCACGATGTACTGTACGATCGGGAATCTGTCAATTAGGTCTGGAATGCGACAATGAAATCGTCTCGCATCCCGTTTCTCGGCCACACCGGTCCCGCTTACGAAATAAGTCACCGATTTATTGGCTTTAACTCGACAACCAGTTTCCTGTCGGGGGGGTGATGTCCCGGCCTCGCACGTAATTTGTAAAGAAAATAACATTTTGATGGCGTTTTGAAGCATTTATACAAGTAATTACCCGAATATTTTGTATGAATATGCTAATTCACGCATAAAATATACCTGACGTGGCGTTATTTTCGCGTAACCTCACTCATTATTACCAGTTAAGAACGTTACGAGGTGTCAACCGTAATCGTCCTCTTTTCTTAACAGTTAATTGATTTATTATTTACGAAACTTAAGAGGAAACAAATATGAATTATTAATTTAATACCGAAAAACGTGTTAAATATATCGGAGAAATTCTAAATTAAGAAGATGGAAAAATATTTGTTAATATTTGAGGAAAGCATTCAATTTACTTTTGTTACCTTCCACGTGGGACGATAAACACCGTTTTTTCTACGTTAAAAAGGAGAGAAAATAGGTTAAGGCTAGATTACGATAACGTTATTTTTAGGAAATTACTCGTCACGAATACTATAAGTCTCGATTTATAACCATCGAAACGATTTTTTCAATTACGTATGAGTTGAATCCCTCGCGTAATGTCCTCGATTAATTGAAATTCACCTAACGTCGCGCCAGGTACAGTTTACGTACAAATTGATAAAAAGCGTAGAAAACTGCGCGCGTAACAAAAAACGCCACAATATATTTCTAGAAATTACGCTTAAAAGTAACGAAAACGATTAAAATTACGAAAATAACGATATAAAATAATAAATAAGACTGAAATTAGCACGACGAAAATACAAATTGGCGCAATAAAAGCGTAACGCATCTACAGCAACGTATACGAGTGCGTAAGGCACGGCGTCACGTTAGTATGTACCATTAAATAACCAATGTTTTCATACGGACGGGTAACGTTACGCGAAAACGGCGTAACAACCAGCGTGCCGTTACGCGGGACTCCGCTACGTTAATTAAGAGATAAAGTAACGAGCAGTAATAATAAAACATTATAAATTAAGCGTTATTTTCTAATAAAAAAATTTAAATTTAATAATCTGAGACGATAATGAAGTAATAAATGCGCACCGAACATCATTATTATCAAATATAGAAATTCAATAGATTTAAATTTAATTTATAATAATAACAAAAGAAATCTAACACCGGGATAAATTGAAATCGGAAGTAACGACTTCACGCGCGTTAAACGAGAAATGTTAATCACGTGATCATTTTAGTAACACGCTTGGGCCGCTAGGATGCTGCGTGATTAGTCGCGTGATTTTCTCGAAGTTGACCGTCCGGGTGTCTCTAATCTGTGACCGGAAGCACCCGTATCAACATTTATTACGCTACTGGCTAGCGTGCTACAGGCGCGTAATATGAAAAATAAAATATCCTTTTCTCCTTTTACGATACTGTGAGAATCGAACAAGTAAAAAGGAAAACAACTCGGGAACGACCTTATTAGAAGCTAATATATGTCAGCTTTCTGACCCGAGAGAGTGTCAACTTACGCTTTCTCAGAGTCGGTAGTGACGCGTGTTCCTCGACTTTTAAGGTATTTGTTGCTTCGAATATGACGAGGAACGGCCGATCCCAGTCGGTCGTCGCCGTTCTTTCATCTCTTCAGTTTAATATGCTTTTGCGTTTCTTTTGAATTAGTGCTCTTCTTTGCCTTTATATTCCTCGTCACACCTCTACTCGCCGCTTTTCTCCCGAACTGCTAACTGAAAGACTACATTCCGAGAATCCCGAACGGGGATTCTAGTTTCTATTTGTAAGGTACCAAATATTTGTAATCTCTCTCTCTCTCTCCGCGAAACGGAAATACCCTGTATAACGTGTTGTACCAACATTCCTGCCGTCTAATAAATGTAAGTGTAGTAAATAGGTTCGAGTGAATCAATTCCAACTAAATCTCGTCCTTTCCTATTCCATCCTCTTATCCCTAGTCTCGTATACGAGACCGGGTTATTATCATCAAAAAACGCTCAAAACTCGTGTGGCGGGCGTAACCTACTCGGTGTCAGAAGGAAATACCGAAGTGGAACGACACAGCGATGCCTGGACTTCATACGGCGACCCCTCGCCATTCAAAACACACTTGACAGAACTAGTGTAACTTAATTCGGGTGTTACATTTTCTCTGATTAATTGTTACGTATATATATTATATATAGTGTGTTTTGTTTTTGCAAAGAAACATAATTAAACCACAACTTTTTAAAATTTTCTTTTGTTTGTATTATGTTAATCAGGATAATAAAAAAAGTCTAGCAACGAGTTACGCGACTGGTTGCAGGAATTTAACATTTAAAATTGCGTGTAACGCCATCTCTTAAGATATTTTTAAAACGCTTTTTATATTAATTAATTATTATAAAACGGCAAAAAAGTTTAATTTTGAAGATAGAGATAAGTTTTATATATAAAAAAAAAGTTGTAAATACTAATAAGGAGTAAAATCATTAAGTCCGACCCCGCTCGAGATACACAAATGAGCCGCCTCTATCTCCCTATTCCTTCGACCTTTAACCACCGAAATATAATAGCATCGATGCTCCTAATACACCGACCTCCCTGCAAAATTTCAGAAATTTTTGACAAATCGCCATACTTTCCCTCTGTTAAATTAAACAGTCGGAAATTCGTAATTGAGCGGTATAAAAACAGATTATTTACTTTATATTTATTTAGTAAATCTTACGCGATACAAAATTTGTAATTAATTACATACCAGTTATTATTGAAAAACGTTTATACTGTCAAATATAAATTGGCATTTAATTAAACCTTCTCTCTCACTCAGTCGCCGATGTATATTTTTATTCGAAATGCAATTAATTTAACTGTACATTTTAAAAAATTAGTTTNCAAAATTTGTAATTAATTACATACCAGTTATTATTGAAAAACGTTTATACTGTCAAATATAAATTGGCATTTAATTAAACCTTCTCTCTCACTCAGTCGCCGATGTATATTTTTATTCGAAATGCAATTAATTTAACTGTACATTTTAAAAAATTAGTTTTTATTTTCTTCGCTAGGTGGCGATATTACTTCACGCGCAATACGGGAGTATTATACTTAATTGAATTGGGTTTGATGTATAATTTCGAGTCAACCGATGAGTCGGGCTAACGCGCTCCGATTTCAAATCAACCTATCGGAGAACCGGATTTAAGGTCACGAGGTACAATTTCAAATCGACGAATCGGAAGCCGTATCGTTTATATTCAAAGTTGTAGGAAAGGGGCGGCTGTATTACCAGGTAACACCTTTCCGGGGCACTAAAACGGGTTCGTTACGCAGATAAATATACTTAGAATTTATTTAAATATCGTTTAAAATATGAAGGCTCTAAATATTCTATATAATTACGTCAATAAATTTTTAAATAAACAAACATCGTCACTAAACCCGATATATTCTTAAGCTATACACCATATTTTCTAGCCCGATAATATTCGGCATCGGTTGGTGTATAGATTTATAATAAATTTTTATTTAAGAGGGCAACTGTTCCATTCTCCCCTGTGGCGACCGTGGCCTGAGCAATTCGTTAGTCACAACCGGTCGGGCAACACGAGCGTGACACGCCAGGGTTTAATTAAGCACGTATTCATTTATTATTAAAAATATTTTTATATTTTGGTTAAACAATTCTCGAAAGCTTACTTTCGCGGTAATAAGAGTCCGGTCTTCTTGCTGGAACCAGGCTATTGAGTTTTATTTTAAATTGCCCAATGAAGGCATGGCAATTTTAGTAAACAGACATTAGACTTTTAGCCCGATTTATTGGGAGTACCTGTACCAGAGAATTGCTGCGAAAGAAAAGGCGATGTAACCGTATTGAATTTGTATTCGATAGTTTTAGAATATTTATGTACAGGTTACCTTTTAAATGGGCAGCTGTCAGTTAAAAAGCTACGCGAAGTCCTCAGACAGGGCAAACGGGTCTCTTGCCCATCCTGGAATCGAGTAAAATATTCCACAAATTATAATCGTAAGTGATTGAATACGTAATTATGCACTGTCGACCGGGGCGCTTTATCTGTCTTAAAAACTCCAAAAAATTAAATAATTAAAATGAAAATTTATTAATGTAATTATTAATATTTGTCTGCAAGCCGTGGAGGTCCATCGTCATTCGTATTAATTCTGGGGATTATTGTAAATCAATTCATTCGATATCTGGATAGAGCTTAATTTGTAGAACGCCGGAGATGCATTTTTGCCCGGAATTTTCTGTCTCCAGTGTGCCATATAAAGAAGGTTTAAATAAAAGGAAGATTGTGAAAGTATAGCGTATGTTTCGTAAAATTTCAATGCAGTTTATGATTTTCTTTAATCACATTTCTTGAAACGAGTTTGCAGAGGACAATGAGCTCGCTCCTCGTAGCCGAGAATAGTTTCTCTGGCTTTGTCCCAAGAGTGTGGCCCTTGCAACCTGTATTGATAAGGAAGACTCGGACCCAGCATCAAAGCCCAAAACAATTTCGGATCCGTAAAAAACATCTTCCAAAAATTCGGCTTCGCTCCGATTAACTCCGCGATTTCGTCCGCGTATCTGATATAATCGATTTGAATTGTGTGACGTTTAGAATCGTAATAACGTGTCTCGAGTTGTCTTTTTCTCTTTTCTACGTCTTTCTTCATTTCTTTCTCGCTGGGAAAAGGTACTTTTTTTGAAAGTACCTGCACAAACCATCTGCTTTGTAATTCGTGAATGGGGAAACTTGCACCTATGGCTTGACTCAATCCGATCACACCCAAAGTCGGGTGTTTCAGATGCGTAGGATATACCAGTTTGTATAGTTCCACCCTATTATCGGTGGTGTCTATGATATTTTTGCCGAGGAATGGGAATTTAATGTCGTACCCCGTGGCTAGGATGACGTAATCCACTTCCGTGACGTGCGAATCTCCCTGGAAGACGATGCCCTTCTCTTCGAATCGCTGTACGTCTCCTTTAACTGTAATTCTACCGCTGAGAATACAATTTGCAATGGAATCGTTGATAGTGGGATGCTGCTGAAGAAACCGATGCTCGGGTTTTAACTGGTAAGCTTCGTGATCGAATGATCTGTTCAATTCTGTTTCTACCCACCAGGACGTAATACTCATAGGCACGATTCTCGAGGCAATATCGAAACATCTTGTTAAGAAATATTCGTCGTTGGGTTTACCACCTTTTCCTACTCTCTTCATTACCCAACATCCTCTACGAGTGCTCCAATACACCTGCAACGAAAAGTATTGTACAACCTTCCTATATTGGATTCTCTGAAAGTTACGAGTTAAATGGAAAAAAAAATTAACGTAATATACACTGTATAAAAGTATAAAATAAGTAGCTCTTAGAGATTCAATAATAGATATTCCGTGTTAGACAGGTTTTTTGCCTTATAATACTATCTTATATCGAAAATAATACTGTTTCTCGGGTTATTTTTCACGCAAGTAGATTTCCGTTCCGCTTTAGAGGTTTCGTTGTAGTCAGAGACAGATATATCACGAAATACTCAACTTGATGGGCCTTTTATATTTCAATAAATAAATTAAAACGACGTGGAAGGAAATTACGTTAATTTATGCTGCGATGATGATTTAAGCTACAAAGCATTAACGTTTTTCTACTTTTATATGTTTTCTAGTTACGATAAAACCGATTTCAGGTTAATTGGAGACTCGAGAATCATTTTTTCTACGTTTCTAAATTGTCTGTATACTTTATTTTGTGTTTTATCCTCAACATGTAACTCGTAAAATGTATTCTGAGAATGCAGTTCGTAAAATATATGCTGGTGGGCTGAAGCTATATATATTGTAAAATGTATGGCTTCAGCCCACTAGTAACCGAGTGGATGAAACCACCGAACAATGACTGTGTATTAGCGCCTTGCCACGGGCTGGCAACGTGGAATTTTTCCTGAATTTCTTCACCTTTTGTAACACCTAAATAGGGGCCAATTTTCTAAGAAAGTCCTACTGGGAGGCCTTCCTCTTGGCAGATCGCCCACGTGTCGCGTTGCCGTAACCAAATAAACCGAACCAAACAATGGCTTCGTAACTAATATCCACGTTGCCGCGAGTTTATAGATTTAAATATATAAATTCTAATTAATAATTAAACGCGTAGATTGGTACAAGCCTCGAACAATACGCGCGTGTATTCTTCCAGTTTCTCAAAGTGGAATCCACGAACTCACAAAGGGTGAACGAACAAGTTTCGCAACATCCTCGAAACGTTCAGAAGGGTGCGTTAAATCTCCTCCGTTAATTCACCTTCACACTTACGCACATACTAATTGTTTACGCTGAAATTACAGACTGACCTTTCATTTAGCGTGTTAGGTAAATGCTGATCTATTATGTCCCTGCGCATTATTTAATATATACGCACGATTTTGTTAAAGTAAATTGACGTAACACTAACAAAACTTAATTGTTATATTCAAAAAGGGTCTTACCCGTTTAGCCACGTTGCAAGTTTCGACAGCGGCGTCGGCTCCCGAATTTCCCGTTCCAATCACCGCCACTCTACCGTCCCGAAACTCGTCCGGTCGTCTGTACGCCTGCGTGTGTAGAATTCTCCCGCGAAATTTCTCTTGTCNACAAAACTTATTAAAATATTTTCCAACGTATAAAGAATTATTTTTATTTAAAGGTGAATAGATATAAAAAAAATCACGGTTAATCCTCAAAGGATTTCTTTACCGTGTATAACAGCCTTTACAGCCTTTAGAGGTATGAAGGAGTACGCGTCAGGAGTCGCAATTTGGCACAGAGTAGTAAGTGCCCAAATCATGGGCGCATAAAAAAACCAGACTCGTAGGTATTCGGGGAACCGAGAACCGAGTCAAAGTAAAATACGAAATGGCGACTCTGTCTACAAACGGGCAAACCGAAGTCGGGTGGTGAGAGTACCACCCACAGTCGTTCTAGGAAATGGACTCCGACTCTAGGACCGAACACGTAGTATTTTCTTTGTTAAGTAAAATTTGTTATTTAATTTTGTAAATTCGGGAGTGCTTCAAATATGACATTAAAACAGGGTTTTATGTCGTTACAAGTAGGTTTTTTAACATTATCTAGTATAGTAAAATCGTGGGACCGATAAAAATTTGACTTTACGATCGGGTTAAACTGTATATTGTTTGCGCAAAATAAAAAATAATAATTTCGGACGATACAATAGCCACGAGTATTTTTTCAAAGACGGGACATTTTCGTTAGATATCGATAAAAATTCAACCCGGGCCGACTGGCAACGGAGAGAAATTTCGAAATTGGATAGGTTAATTTCATGGAAAATGCACGGTGGCCGGCGAAGTTCGAACGATCGCGCCCAAAAGCGGCGATGTCGAGGAAGATTGGAGAATGAGAACGAGATCCGCTTCCAGCGTCAAAGCGACTCCGCTTAGTACTGTCTCCGAGACATAGTCGTGTCCCAAATACGGTTTTGCCGTTTTACTTGCTTCAATTTTAACCTTTCCCCCGAAAAGAGTTCGATAGATGACCGGCACGATTCTATTGTTATAGAAAAAGTTTGATGTACTGTACTGTACACGCCTTGGCACGCTTGGGGCTTGCGTAAAGTGTATCCAATTGGACTAAATCCCTTGGTTATAGAAAACGCATTAGTTATTGTTCCGTATTACCCCAAATTTCCCTACTATTATTACACGATGATAGAACACGAGTTGTGTAAAATATAAAGGATACGAGTCGCCCTTCGTGGCCATTCCTAAGCCCTACGCAGTTTCCTACTTTGCGAATTTTGACCTCCACTTATGCGTAGAATCTATAATCTTTCCGTTAAAAAACTTAATTGTTTTCGTTACTTCTTGCGTACGCGAGGACGTAACCCGATCGGCCAGGATGCCGGCCCTGAGGTGTCTGGGAATTTAAAATCCCCTTTATCGGACACTACTGACCCCGACCCTCGCTTGTCGCGTCATCCTGACGTTGTCCCGCGACGCGTCAGCGTGACGCGAGAAAGCCTTTTCACGTATGGGGTAGTTGTTTGCTGGACGCGAAGAGATGTACGCAGAGGCCGAAGTGACAAAATTTACCGCGTTTAATTATTAATTATTTATTACGCGTTTAAAATTTACCGCGTAAAGACACGCTTTATGGATTACCCAATCCGGAGAGGTAGGTCCCGCGCAGTAGGGAGAGAAGTTGTCTCTAAGATTATGAGTTCAACGTGGTATACACGTTACGGAAATCCTTTGAGGATTAACCGTATGAAGGAGTACGCGTCAGGAGTCGCAATTTGGCACAGAGTATTAAGTGCCCAAATCATGGGCGCATAAAAAAACCAGACTCGTAGGTATTCGGGGAACCGAGAACGGAGTCAAAGTAAAATACGAAATGGCGACTCTCTCTACAAACGGGCAAACCGAAGTCGGGTGGTGAGAGTACCACCCACAGTCGTTCTAGGAAATGGACTCCGACTCTAGGACCGAACACGTAGTATTTTCTTTGTTAAATAAAATTTGTTATCTAATTTTGTAAATTCGGGAATGCTTCAAATATGACATTAAAACAGGGTTTTATGTCGTTACAAGTAGGTTTTTTAACATTATCTAGTATACTAAAATCGTGGGACCGATAAAAATTTGACGTTACGATCGGGTTAAACTGTATATTGTTTGCGAAAAATAAAAAAAAAAATAATTTCGGACGATACAATAGCCACGAGTATTTTTTTCAAAGACGGGAAATTTTCGTTAGATATCGATAAAAATTCAACCCGAGCCGACTGGTAACGGAGAGAAATTTCGAAATTGGATAGGTTAATTTCATGGAAAATGCACGGTGACCGGCGAAGTTCGAACGATCGCGCCCAAAAGCGGCGATGCCGAGGAAGATTGGAGAATGAGAACGAGATCCACTTCCAGTGTCAAAGCGATTCCGCTTAGTAGTGTCTCCCAGACATAGTCGTGTCCCAAATACGGTTTTGCCGTTTTACTTGTTTCATTTAACCTTTCTGGTTAATATTTAAATAATATAATATTTAACCAGTTTTACCAGTATTATACCGTCGTCCAACAGAAAAGTAAATTATCTTATTTACAAATCTTTTCAAAATAGACAGTTTGACCGGGCCCTAGACATTTGTCTCATTTGTCTACGCGATGATCCGGCCCCGAGTATCGGCGAGTCCCGCTTTGAACTCTGTAAGATGACCGTCCAAAATTACCCCGGCGGACCATCCCTCTCCCGTTCTCACGATGTACTGTACGATCGGGAATCTGTCAATTAGGTCTGGAATGCGACAATGAAATCGTCTCGCACCCCGTTTCTCGGCCACACCGGTCCCGCTTACGAAATAAGTCACCGATTTATTGGCTTTAACTCGACAACCAGTTTCCTGTCGGGGGGGTGATGTCCCGGCCTCGCACGTAATTTGTAAAGAAAATAACATTTTGATGGCGTTTTGAAGCATTTATACAAGTAATTACCCGAATATTTTGTATGAATATGCTAATTCACGCATAAAATATACCTGACGTGGCGTTATTTTCGCGTAACCTCACTCATTATTACCAGTTAAGAACGTTACGAGGTGTCAACCGTAATCGTCCTCTTTTCTTAACAGTTAATTGATTTATTATTTACGAAACTTAAGAGGAAACAAATATGAATTATTAATTTAATACCGAAAAACGTGTTAAATATATCGGAGAAATTCTAAATTAAGAAGATGGAAAAATATTTGTTAATATTTGGCTTTATGGATTACCC